TAGCGCTTAGAACGGCGCGAATTAGTCTTCGCGCTTATGTCTTCGCGCAGAAGGGCTTCGCGGATTTGTGGTGGAAACGATAAAATATACAATTATTTAGATCTGAACGGCACTCAGAATCCAAGACTTTGCATAAAAACAACCACTTGAACAAAACTCCTTGAAAAATGTATCCCACATCTTCTCTGTTATGCATGAATGATATAAATGTAACCTGAAAATTCTAATATTTTGCAATATTTTTCAATATTCCATATTATATACATTAGGAAAGCCTCCATTTTCCCTATTTAATTCTCTGTAATCAGATATTCTCGCAATCTTTCTTTACCTGGCAAGCACTAATTCAAAATAAAAGCAACTCTGTGGTTCAGAAGGCAGTTTCATTCCAGCTTTTATTCTTTATATCATTTAATAACACAAATCTGACCAAGTCTACTTAAAAATAAGAGCCACTTTCTATGGCAATTGCTCTCTGGGAAGTGTGTTTGGAATTGACTAAGTCACATGTTTTCATAGCTGACAGATTAGAATACAACGGAACATTCTTGTATTGTTCTGTTATACTAATCACTGTGTGGTAGTTTATGTAAAAATAACACAACTTGCAAAAGGATATACTCTAATGCCATGATAAAATGAGGACTATTTAGTCATCTCTACTACCTATTTTCCTTGATCATCACACTTTCAGTTTAGTCTAGTCATTAGTTCCATTTTGTTGGATGTTATATCATTTCTACAAGTATATACGCGGTATGCATCAGCTCTAATTGGATTCAGAAATCCTGCCTTCCAGAATTAGGCCTAGGGTGACCAGTTGGATCGTTGTGATGACCTGGCCACTATTTTGTATTTTTTGCATACACATCCCCTTTTTCTAAATGCTTTAATCATCATTTCTTGCATCAACTAAGTTATGCCATAGGTCTAACCCAGAAGGAATATTCAGTTGTGTGTTTTGGCTGGTTTTTTGTTTTGTTTTTTTTAAAAACGAAGAAGTGAATCACTAGGCAATGATGAGAACTCCCAACTCATCTTCTTGGCTCATCCTTATTCCTGTAGCTGATTAACCACCAGACAATCATAGTGCCCTTGTATGTCTCAGTTCCAACTCAGTGATTAGTGCTCTTTTTTTAAAGGGGAAAAAAGCCAAACTACTGGGTAAACACAATGCAGATAAGAATGAGAAAAGATTAAGATAGAGTGCTGATTTTATACTCCCTTATTGTTAGTTAGTGGGAGCTTTGGACACCTCATCTAAATAATTTGGAAACTGCAGTGGGGATGAGTTATGGGTCTCCATGAAAATGATTCTGATGATTTGAGGAGTGACAACAGTATTGTGGATAATGCCTTAAGTCTTCTAATAAATCAGTTGTACCATCACCTCTTTACATACCATATACTGTTGTGGAATTGTAGATGATAAGGTAGTTAGATTCACATTTCTGGGATTCTATATCCAAGTCTCCAATTTTTAAAATCAGCTGCTTTCCATGAGGTACCTGAATTTTCTTTTCACAGACAGTATGATTGGGATAAGTTCTTGGATAGTTTTTGGATGTCAGAGTTCCACTGTCTCGGTAGATGACTATAGACCCACATCCATCACCTATTTGAAGAAAGAGATGAAAATTTAAGAAGTCTACATCAATAGGTATATATCTCCTGCACTGCAACACACATTCAACTCTGTTAAAATATCACTGTTAAAATATCACTTCCTACATACTATTCTCTAGATTTGAACATCTATTTTTAAAGTAGGTTCTCAATTATCTCTTAAAAAAGAAAGGGAGGTGTGAATCACCAGTTCAGAGGTTACTAAGCTTGCATGAAAAATGTTCTTTGTTGTCAAAAATAGTGAGAAGTGTGTCTAGAACCAATTTACCCATTAGGCACAAGAGGCATAATACCCAGGGCCCATGAAAATCTCTTAATTGTTTTTTTTAATAATAAAGAATAAAAATAAAGTAGAAATTATTAATTTTAAGCCTTTTAATAAATATTTAATTTCATGCTTTTTAGGCACGTTTGCGGGCAACGAAGACACATTTGAACATCAAACTTATGATTTTATTTGTAACTTATAGGCATAGTAAAAATAATTAAAATTTAGTAGTCCTAATGATATGCGATGTACATCATACATAATCAGCAATTATTATCATTACAAAATATTACATATTATACATTATTTACTATTCCCTAATTATCTCTAAAAATACAAAGGGAATATTGAAAATTGTAGGAAATATATAACAAACAAAATATCCTAGAGAAAATATGCTAAACTACAGTTAGAACAATGGCTTGGTGTAATAGTGTAACCCATCCTATGGCATTTCTTGAAAGGATCTCTTAGCAAGCCACAAAATACTACAAAGCAAAACATAATGTATTATTTAAAGCACATTAAAAACAGTTATAGACCAAGGAACTATTGTATAGAATAGGATATAGAAAAATGGATGCCAGCAAGCATGAACCCCTATTATAGGAAGTCAGTCTCCTAGACTGCCTATCCTTTACAGCTCAATCTATCAAGGCTTTATGATAGATTTACAACATCTATTTTTATCAAAGCTGCTGTGTGACAGGGTGAGTTCCTGTTATTTGATCCTGCTCCTGCAGAACCTAGCAGTTTTAAAGCATGTACATCCGAGTAGATAATTAGGTACTACTTCAGTGGGCTCGTTAACGAGGACGTTAAAGGAGCCCCCAACTCCCGGGCAACAGTGATATCACCATGGAAGCGCTTCGGTGTTTCCCACATGAAAGTATAGGAAGTATCTTTATATCAATGCCAATGTTCCTTATGAACACTTCGGAACATTCTTGGAAAATAAAATGGTAGTGTTTAATAATGTGCCCAGAAGCCTAGAAAAGAGACAAGTTACACTGACATCACATGCTAGAAAGCATGAGAAACTTGAGAGAATGATGGGAAACAACCGTACCCACCTGTTGTCTATCCAACTCCTCATAGTAAGTATTTGGTGAAAGTGCCCACAATATGCTCTCAAAATTTCAAATAAGGTTGGAGGAAGCTATGACCTAAAATCTTGCAACTGTGGACAGAGCTAGCAGTTGGAGAAAGCTTGCAATCAAGATTCCTCTGGCAAAAAAGAAACATAGCTCCAGGTTTCAAATGCAGTGCTGGTGAAATATACAAAGCAGCCACAGCTGATTAAAAGATAGGCAAAGTTGCTTTAAGGTCTGCTGGATGGACAGGACACATGTATGCCCTGAAGATATTCTGCTTGGCTCTGGTGGAAGTGTTTCCTAGTTAGGCACATCCACATTCAGAAGATCTTGGGTCAGCCTCAAAACAGTCATGCCTTCAAGCAGTTGCCACCGATTCCTGGCTTTGAGAATGCACTAAATCTCATTTCTTCAACTGAAAATGCTTGGGCGTCATATAAACTGGGCAGTGATCCACTAAAGTTCACATTATAATAAACTGATTAATCTTTAAAAAGTCACAAGACTTTTGAATGCTCTGATTTGTACAGGTATAATACCTACTTGTTAATGCTTGTGTTCCTCAATTAATGGAATGACAAGAAAGGGAGAATGTCAGCATTTAATAGGAAGTGGGTGGAGTTTACTGCAGCTTAAATTCATCTCCAGATTTTCATCTACTTTGGCTTCCATGTTAAATAAGCTAAGGGGTTAAATTCTCAAGCAGATTTTTCAGGAAACAGCTCCAGTTTTCTTTTCTGACTGGAGCCTTCAATTCAAGAAATATTGGACCTCAAGAAATGGCATTGTTTCTGGCTTAACTCTTTCTTCTCTTTTGTTCCTCAGATTGGATCTCTCTGCCATTTTCTTTTCACGAGCACAGCAATGTTAAAGAGAACTAATAGTTCCTTGCCTGAATTTATCCAAGGAAGAATGGGAAGGAACATCTCATGGTGGGTTCCGGATCCCGTTGCAACCGGTATGCTACAATGGGGCCCAGCTTCCACCATGTGAATGCGTGCAGCATGTGCGCAGCATGAGCAAGCATACTTACCGCCCGTGGAGCGTCACACAGGCGCCGTACTCTCCATGCGTGAAAGCTCTGATCGGCTCAAATAGCAGTAAGGAGAGCAGGTGGGTGGGTGGGCCTTAGCAGTTAGACTTATATACCGCTTCATAGGGCTTTCAGCCCTCTCTAAGCGGTTTACAGAGTCAGCATATCGTCCCCAACAATCCGGGTCCACATTTTACCCACCTCGGAAGGATGGAAGGCTGAGTCAACCCTGAGCCAGTGAGATTTGAACAGCCGAACTGTTGAACTGCAGTCAGCTGAAGTAGCTTGCAGAGCTGCATTTAACCACTGCGCCACCTCGGCCCTCTTCCGGAGCACTGTACTGGAACTGTACCTGGTACTCTCAGCAGGCAGTGGTACGCCCATACCGGGGCGTACCAATTGTATCCCACCACTGGAACATCTGCCCAAACTAAATAGGACCAGTGATTTCCACTTTTGCTTGCTTCCGAAATAATTATGAAACTACTGGTCTTACAGTAATTGCTCAGTATATTTTACAGAAAAGAGAGGGAAATTATTTGATGGAGACAGTGTTCTTGTGTATATTTTATAGCATTCTGTCAGAGAGTTCGGTCTACTGTATTGAAACACATTCTTGCATAATTGGAATCTTGATGGTCACATCACATGGTAATATGGATGGGGCTAAAGAACACATTGGATAAAAAGGGCTTTACAGACCTTTCTAAGCAATTTACTGTGTCAGCATATTGCCCCCAACAATATGGGTCCTCATTTTACTAACCTCAAAAGGGTGGAAGTCTGAGTCAACCTTCAGTCGGTCAGGATCATACCCCTGGCTGTGGGCAGAGTTAACCTGCAATGCCGCATTCTAACCACCGCACCATCACAGCTCTTATGCCAAATTTTGGCTTGCTATCTTATATAACAACCACACTTTGTAAACGAAGGTTTATGGTTTAGAATATTGGACAAATCCAACTAACTATGATATATTTAATAAGTGATGGGGTTAAACAAATTATGTTTTAGTGCAATATGAGAACCCAATCATCATCTTATTCAGTTTTACAGGCTAAAATATAAAGCAATCATGCAGGATATTTTTCTTAAATTTTATTTTTGGGACGCTACCCAAGATAATACGACACTCTGCACCATTTTTACTCTTTCTAAAAACATTCAGCCACAGTAAGACAGAAGAACAGTTCTTAACATATTTGAAATTCAAGAAGGATCACTTAAAGTTAAAATGTTAATTCTCACCCTAGTTGAATTCCTACCATTGGCTTGCCTTCTACTCCTTGTAAGAATAATTTTTAAAAATGACAAGGACTAATTTTCTAAATTACAGGTAATTATTAAATAAACATAATTGGGAAACCAATATTATACTAATCAACCATTATGCATGAAATCTTGCTGACAAACCTTAGAAATAAATCATACTGTATAACATATAACCTGCATAGCCTGTATAATAGTGGAACAGTTCCACTATTCGGGGTCCACCATCTGTTAAGTCTTTAAAGAACAGGCCGGATGCTACCTCTCATGGGCATCTTAATTCGTTTTTCTGCACACTGAAGAGAATTGGGCTAGATGATGCTCATGGTCCATTCCATCTCCGAATTCTATGATTTTATGTTGCTCTGTTTTACTGGTTAGCAGTGAACTCTTGACTACTGTTTTACATAATATTCACAAACAATGACAGAGAATCTTTGCTCATCAGTCTATCTTCCATTTTATTTCAAATCAAGCCACACATCAGATAAATGTTTGCAGTTATCTATTTTTAATACAAAGCATAACATCACATTATCTGACTTACTCTTTACAACAATCCCATATGATGGGCAGTTAATTATGCACCTGTAATGCTGATGAGGAAGAAGTTGAGATACAAGCACTGCTCAGCCCGAAGCCACCTGCCAAACTCATTGCAAATCTTAAACACATTTTTCTCCTATCTCATATTTTGTGTATTATCTTCTTGAGAATTTGGAACCTTACCCCCACTTTTTTTTTTTTAGCAAATACAGCAATAAGTTCTAATGAATGTATTGACCAAACTATGGATTTTATATCCCCCCCCAATAGTTCTTTTACAATGTTATAACTAGATAAACAGATAAAGCTGTCGTGGATTAACACAGTCAAACAATATAAATCAACTAATATAGTAAAACTCAAGGTTCTATTTGCAAAGCCATGTTTTCTAGCTGTATTAGACAAACCAAAGGTTAAAAAAAAGGAATCTCTCTCCTTTTAATTTGTTGTAGAGCAGTGGTTCTCAACCTGTGGTCTACAAATCCCTAGGAGCCCCACAATATCATGACGGGGGGGGGGGGCGTGTCCGTGACAGCTAGAATTTTAGGATTTAAATCATGAGTTAAGTCTTGGGGGTCTATCCATGGTCCATGGCCACCAAAGGCATTTAAAGTGGGTCCATGGGGAATAAAAGATTGAGAACCACTGCTGCAGAGTATTTGGCCATAATCTGAGAGATATACATATATCCTTCAATGTTTTTGTTTAACTACAGCAACTTCTTAATTAAAAGACAAAAAGACCTCTAAAACTGTGGAAGTTTATAACTTCATAGGAAATACGAACCATTCTGCATGTCAAAATGTCAGCAACTTTAGAACACTGCATTTCTAGTTTCATTTAAGGGAACCACTTACTTACATGTGCTAACCTGTATCCACCAATCATCTATTTCTGAGTTACAACTGATTGTTCTGATAGTGGAAATTCCCACAAGGTACAAATAGCAAAGTTCACCTGAAGAACATATCTATAATCATTCAAAGGTAATCCCTCTAAAAGGAAAGCAAATTAAGAGTACATCTCACTACCCAGCAGGATTTCTTTTTGAGACTATGTTATAGAAAAAACTAGTTTAAAGTTGAAAAGCAAGCATCTTGAGGAATTGCTAATCTTAAATCAGGCTGCTTAAAACAGGTCCGCAAACATTCTGAGATTTAATTTTGCAGGGAAAGCTTGAAAGGTATGCTAGAGGAATTGAAGCGACAAATTCCAAACACCTTAAAAGAAATACATTTCACACACCATGCTTTTTAAAGGGTGTGATTTCCGGGACTTGCAGATGATTTTTTTTTTGAGATAAGACCCAGCTTCTAGAAGATAAAATGCCTGGTAATACATGCTTGAATTAACCAGTGTTGGTACCACTATCAGTGTAATATTTCATTTCAACACAGTATTTATCAAGTTTTAGGTATACAAGTTGGAATGAGACCCAGCAGAATCTTATCTCAGCATGGCTCACAACCCTATTCAGGCATTCATAAAACGTGAATGTGCTAACTCCATTCATTCCACTCATAACTTTCTCACAGGTTTTTTCATAGCTTTCAAAGCTCAGGGAGGTTGGAAAAGAGACTGTAGCAATGCAAGTCTCTTTTTGCAGTCAGGTGGAATCTCTACCATTTACATGACTGTGTAGATATTCTAAAACTAGAAACTGAATGCCGATTCTGATTTTTCTTGCTCCATGCGAAAAGGGTAAGAATTTATAAAGCAGGAGAACTCCACAGCTCTCAATATGGCTACCTCACTTCTCAGCAATACACGTGCCCATCTCTAATATATCAAGATACCCTACAAACAAGGTGAAGCTAATGAAGGATTCAGATGTACATGTCACAAGAACCTTCTTTATTACATTCAAGAAACCAAGAAGTTTTTTTAAAAAAATAAAAAAATAAAAATAAACCTCTACTTCCAGACTGCTGAAGTTCAAAGAGCCGGATCAGAAACTTTAAGAGACCAGTTATCTACCGGTATTTGCAGAATAGACACAAAGTCAGCTGTTTTATCCCCCCCCCCCCGCGAAAGCCGAGGTTGAAAGCAGGGTATAAAAAAGAAACATACGCGTGGGAACTACAAGATTAAAAAAAGCTGCAGAGTGTATACTGTAACAACACAAATCCGAACTCCGGCAGATTATTTCCATCAACAACTTCTAGCCTTAGGTTGCGTCTCAATTCGAGGTTTTCTTTTTAAAAGAGCAGCCCGTTACACCAAAACAAGACAAAGCAAAAGAAGGTTTTATCCCACTGTTCCGATTCCAAGGTTTTTGAAAGCTGCGCTGAGATCAAAGTTAAGATGAAGGTTTCAAAGATCTTTTAGAAACCTTGGAGATTCTTACGATCTCCGGGATAAAAAGAACTGCGGCCGAAGAAACATCTGACCATGCAAAGTGCTCGTTCGCTCGGTCCACAGAGAAGTGGATCTTGCCCGATAAGAATAATGCCTCTTGCGGGCGCGTCCATCCACCTTCAGTCTCTCACTCACCCACTAAACTTTCCCATGCCAAACGTGCGAACCGGCAGCCAGGCCGGCCGACTCACCGAGCTTCTCCGCCGAGCTCCCCGACAACAAAGCGGGCAGCAACAGGAGGACACCCAGCTCACGACTGCGGCCCATAATCCCCGGACCTTCTCGCTGACTTGCTTCCGCCGGCATTTTTCAAAACTCGCTCCCGCGCCCGGCCGGGGAAGGATTTGTGCGCCGCCCGTTTTTCTTCCAAGGAGGCGTCCAACTCTCACGCCAGATGGGAAGCGCTTCTCTCCTGGCTGTAGTCAGGCGAACCTCCCTCCCTCCCCCCACTCTCGTGGGGCGAAGGAAACGAGGAAGGAAGAAAGCGAGGAGCACGGCCCTTCGGATTGGATGTCGGAAAGGGGCGGAGCCTATGGCCAGGCTCCTCCCCCTGGGTCCTCGTAGGAAAAGCATCTGTAGTCTTCTTGTTCACCGCGCGGCCGGTCGACTTCTCCCACCCCTCTTCCTCCACGTACAGGTGACGCTATCAAGGCATTTGGAAAGAAAAAAAAACCCGGCTTTCTCGGAAGGAAAAAAACGCCTCGGTTGTTGGGGGAGGAAAGCGGATCGAACCGTAGACTTGAACAGATTAATAGAGTTGGAAGGGACCTTGTAGGTCATCTAGTCCAACACACACGCGCGCACACACACACTCACACAAGCAAGAGACGCTACACCTGTGATGATGTAAGTGCCCAAACTGCTGGCATGCATGCGCACATACAACAAAGACCCAAAGACCGGCTGGCCTGGCATCCCAACACAGACAGTGCGGCAAGAGGTAAGATCGTTTTCTTTCGTGACCTTCTGTTTCATCGTTTGCAGTGAAACCGAAGCTCACCAAAGAAACGCCACGGAGATGTTATCTGGAGCGACCACACATGTGCCAGCAGAGAGGGCTCTGTGTGCCATCTCTGGCACGCATGCCATTAGGTTCGCCATCACAGCCCTACACTGTTTCTGACAGATGGCAGTCCAGTCTCTTCTTGAAAGTTTCCAGTGATGAAGCTCCCACAACTTGTTCCGTTAGTTGATTGTTCTCACTGTCAGAAAATTTCTCCTTATTCCTAGGTTGAATCTCTCTTGATCAGTTTCCATCCATTATTACTTGCCTGGTGCCTTGGAAAATAGCTTGACCCCCTCCTCTCTGTTGCAGCCCCTCAAATATTGGAACACTGCTATCATGTCTCCTGTGATCCTTCTCTTCACTAAAGTAGCCATTCCCAGTTCCTGCAACCGTTCTTCATATGTTTGAGTCTACAGTCCCCTAATAATCTTGGTTGCTCTTCTCTGCACTTTTTCTAGAGTCACAGCATCTTTTTTATAGTGTGGTCATGACCAAAACTGGATGCAGTATTCTTTTAATAGTAAGCTCGATTTCCTAAGCAGGAGTCCCTGAATTCTCCCTCGACCCCCGCTATTTCCCAGTGAAAAATACTGTGATTATTTCTGGATCCTGGATCCTCTCTCACTGAGACGCAAGCACAGTGCGTTTGATATTGCATTGCTGTTACAGAGCATGTAGTAAGTGCTTTTTTAAAAATAGTTTTGAGCAATTACTGAACATGTAGTTAACACTAAAATGTCTGTAAGGGACCACTAGAGATTCCTATAAATTGCACCCTTCTCCTCTCTTAATTTTTCTCCTTTTTGGCAAAAAAAAATTTATGCTTATTATAAGCAAGTGGACAAATCTTAACATTCATATCCCAAAGGTGCCTTTTTTAAAAAGAGGCAACTGGTTTTTCTGGTTTTTCTTTGAAGACGTTTCGCTTCTCATCCAAGATGATTTTTCAGTGTAACATTCATAGTTTTAGAAAAAATGTTGGGTAAGAAATCTTGCTTCGTGCACAAAGTATGGCCATCTGCTAAGAAATGGATAATAAACTAGAATCCCATATCACTGTCTCAAGAATATGAATATTCAGTGGAAATCATCCTTCAATCCTCTGGAGAAGTCATGGCAAACTGACAGCGCTACAAAAGCAGAAACCACAGAGCCAGTGAGAAGACCTTGGAACCTCTCCAGATAAGGAGAATGTTGGGAGATTGCCCATATGTGCTTTGGAGACTGTTCCTTGCCAGGAGACACCAGACAATGATTTTCTGCAGGTTTAAGTATCTGGAGATAACGGGATCAGCCATCTTGCTCACAACATGGTTGAACTGTTAAAAACACTTAAGTTCATAAATCTCATTTTCTAATCATTTTCAAAAATTACTCATTCACTACTTCTAAGCTATTAGATAACTTGAGACCAACAAGTTTGAAAACATCGGATGGGTCTGCCTTCAATCACGACTGAAAGAAATATTTAATCATAAGCTTAGGAATGTAAAGAATCTGAAACCAACAGCAAAAATGTAAATAAGAGTTTGAGCTTAGAAAGTTGTAAACAGACTATGTCAGATAAAAACTGGAATATTGAAACTTTTACAATAAGATCTTGTAATTAATTACAAAGAACAAACAGCTCCTCATAGGAAATAGATCCTGTTTAGTTTTTGGCAAGGTCCAACAAGATAAAAATCTTACAATTTCAAAAACTGGGCAAATGCAAGGGACTAATTCTTTTAGGTAGAAGAAAGATTTATAAACCTTCAAAATGTTGCAAAATATTCTAACAATAAAAGTACTGTAGGGGACTTTTGAAGAATGAAATCAGAAAAGAGTAGCCACCATATCCATAATGTCAGTAATGATGTTTACTTCTATGGATACTAAAGGTAAATGTGTGCTAGTTGTTCCCGACTCTAGGGGGTGGTGCTCATCTCCGTTTCAAAGCTGAAGAGCCAGTGCTGTCCAAAGATGTCTCCATGGTCATGTGGCTGGCATGATTAAATGCCAAAGGTGCACGGAGCACTGTTACCTTCCCACCAAAGTGGTCTCTATTTTTCTATTTACATTTTTATGTGCTTTCAAACTGCTAGTTTGGCAGAAGCTGGGACAAGTAACGGGAGCTCACTCCATTACGTGCTGCAAGGGATTTGAGTGAACTGAGCCACTGTGTCCCTTCTATGATAGACTTTGCCCCAAAAGTCATTATTGAAGAAATGACAGATATCTAGCAAATGTTGTCAAGGCAGAGACAGGTGTGGATATACAATTGACAGCCAAAAAATGACTTAGAAAAGGTTGTTTCATTGGATCTACAAAAGAAATTAGCTGCTTCTTTAAAATTTCAAAGGAAAACACCAATGACAAAACAAAAGAGTAGCAAAAATGAAGAATTATTTATATAGCAACGCTCAAGCTTTCAGATAGAATATCCAAGATTGAAGAAGAAATATATCACCCATAGGAGCAAGAAGGCAAGTGTGTGTGTGGGGGGGGGGGGGGGGGGGGGGGGGGGGATCAAAAGAATCCAGGACTTTAAACTTTCCTTTTTATTACCAAATCTATTTGATAGCATGTTGCAGTGCCATCTGCTGGAAAGCAAAATAAATCTTATATTGGCTTCCCAGCCAGGAAGAAAACTTGGCTTCTGGAGCATTTGTCAGATTTTGTATATAGATATTGTAATATATAGACATAACTTAGAGAATTTCCGTGAGCATTGCTTTTATCTCTAATGGCCAATCATGACTTATTTGCCCCAAGGTGAGGACAGGCCTCCTGCCATTTTAGAAGAGCAGGGATGTATGATGTCAACCTCAGCTTGTCCCAGACCTTCCTCTGACATTTTTGGCTTCACCACAACAGTAATGTGTTTTCCTCTTTGCTGGTGCAAAGAAGGTTATCCAGTCCACTTGTTCATACAAATACTTCATTTTCAAATTCTGATTTAACATATTTTATTCCCAGTACATTTTAAATCTATATTAAATATTTCTCTTAATATGAGAACCATTGAAAACTAAATCCCTATGCAAACAATTGTTCTCTTGATTTCATTTTAAGCTTCTCTTCCTCTGCTACTGTACAAAATAACTTATCGCTGTATATTAGCCATTTGTCTTTGCCTGTTGTTTCTTTTCTGTAAACACTTATTGAGTTGTACCAACAAAGGTATTCTCAGGCATAGCCTGGGTTTATAGCCATTCCATATTTGTCATATGGCATTCCTGAAAATGATTTTTTAAAATATTCTTTTAACTTTAGCATACCATAAATAATCATGCCATCCAAGGCTTAGACCATGATCTTACAATTCTAAGAGTCGCTAATTTTCTAACAAAAACCATTCTTTCATCCAAACCAAACACCAGGCAGCAAAATAGAGTTTAAAAATCAGGTAACTGCAATTATCCATTTTCAGTTCCTGGAGAATGCTGTATTTAACCTTTGGTTTTGTCCTCTGCTCTATAAATCTAGATATAGCTTTTTGCCTCTGTTTCAGTTCTCAAAACAGGCAGTGTCTGAAATAAGAACAACATTCTAGAGAGTAGTCATCTTTTCCATAGAGATTCTTCCTAACAGAGATAATTGTAATTTTTCAGGAAATGTTTATATTTAAAGAGGCTAAATTTATGTTGCACCTTCTGGTATAGAAGTACATTGCAGATCTTCACAGTATGCTATACTTAGAGATTAATATTTGTGATACATATTGTGGAAAAATTGTATCTGGTTTTGTGACCAATGGAAGGATGGCTACTCAGTGGTTTTGGGTACTGAATACTGTGCATTTTTTGTCTGCCTTAATGTGACATTATCATAAGGGATTGTCCTGAAGAAGGACTACACAGCTGGTAGAACAAAAGTGGATCATAACATTGCGTTAGGGAGAAGTGGCCTCAGAAAAGACTAAGCTAAGAAGAGGACAAGCTGCTGAATGTAATCATCGGAGGTGATAATGCCAATAAAAAATTCTGCAAAAGGATCTCGGAGATCTGGAAATTTGACACTGTTGATGCAGAAGGAGAGAGAAATCAACATCTAACATCTTACATGAACAGACATCCATTTGAGGTTAGAATTTCCTTTATTCTTCTATGGGGTCCTTGGTGCTCTCTGAGTTCGGTACTTTTCTTGCCCCAGCCCCCCCTCCTGCCTCCGTCCCCTGTCCCCTTTATCATGTCATGCATGGCACAAGAATCCTACCAATTCCTAAGCTGTCCAGAGTTGGCTTAAAGGGAATAGAATTGAAGGAGGAATCGTGCTGCAACAGGGGTGTCAAACTCAAGGCCTGTGGGATGCTTGTATCTGGCCTGCATGGCTGCCCTGGAAACAGTGAAGGACTGGCCTGCGGTGCCTCTGCCAGCAAAAATGAAGTATGGGTGGGCCGCACGCGACCCTCATGAGGTTCATTTTCACTGGCAGAGTACTAACAAAA